TGGCGCCAAACGAACGTCTGTGATTCGCGCTCAAGTCTATTTCTGTCGCATTTGGCGGAATAATTATAAGTAGGACTTCTTTTCAATAATTATGCAAGAAATTCCGTGTTTTTCCATTATTTTTGAGCAAAGCATGCGCTCTACGTAGAATTTTAGGCATCTTGGATTTCTATTGGTCAGCGTACGAAACAAATAAAATAAACGTACGTAGTAGACACGAGCGCTCTATAAAATAAATTAGAAAAGTCGGAGCTGATTTATTCAGTATATGAAGAGAAAAATATTCTGAATCGAACTGTCGATTCAGATTTCCGAGACCTGCGCGCGGGCTGGGGTCCCATATCCAATATGTGTCAACTGCATATCTCATCAGCTGATGTTCTAAACTACCAACGATATCTCATAAGTTGACGTTCTTGTGACGATTATTGGTCACAACCTTTACTTTCAATATGTACAGTTTATCTTCGTAGACATAGATTTTACTTTATTGCACTCTTCTCTCTTTTTTTGGTGGTTTAGCTGTCTCGTCTCTTTTCTTTTTCTTTTTGGTTTTGTTCTTATTTTTTGGTACGCAGTAGGAGATATATGGAATCGAATAGTTTCTTTAGTAGAGTAGGTTGTAATTTTTTAAAAAGAATGGTAGAATAAAAGTAGAATATATATACAATACGTCTTATAGCGCACACATACGACAAACTCTCAAAGATTTATAATAAGAGGAAACATAAGTCACCGCACTTTGAGATCTCGTCTTGCCAAACCCTGCGTTCTCCTGCAAAACTCTTATTTTTTCCTTTCCATCTTCCTGCCCTTGCTCATTTTATCTGGTAAGTCGCATTGGTTTTTATCATGGCTGAATTTTCTAATGAGTTATGAGATCAAGACACAAACTACTGAACTGAGGAACTTACGGAAGTGTGTCTTCGCACTGCATACTCATCGTGTTCTCGGGTAGACTTCTGTAAAAACTTCAACACCTTACGAAAAGCTGTCGCTGTTGAATTTGTAAAGCTCCTCGCTATCGTACATGACTCGTTTACACTTCTCAGTGGAACTACTTATAACTTTTGATATACAGCATGACTTTCTTTCAAAATTTAGCTTCATATATTACTATTGTAGTAGTCCAAAGTTATGATGAGAAATTAAAAAAAAGCTGCTCTGTCTTTTTTATTTAAACCAACTAAGAGACCTTGTTCCTTCGAATGTTAATCCAATTTGTAGTTTGCTATAAAGCGCGAAAGATTATGCGCAGAAAAAGTGGATTCGCAGGTAATCAACTATGGTGCATCCAGAGGGTATATTCGCGAGATCTTCAGAAGGCCTTCACGGGTCACCGAAGGTTCTCGGAGGGATCTCCAGAAAACCTTTCAGGATTTATTGAAATATGAAACTCCAACAAAATACTTGCAGAAATAGCCCGCTACGGCCTGTTCAATGGGCATATTATCAAAACCCTCTGATCATCTTCAAAGGGTATCGATGACAATCATCGACAACGTCGCTGACAACTGCCAGGTGATCGATTTTCTTCACATGAAAATAAGCTGATTGTGGCCGTGTCTATCGAAAAAATAAAAATTCTCAGATATAAGTGGTATTTGTGCGATAAGAAGCCCATATACGAGAAAAAAAACACAACTGGCAGATGTATCTAAACGATAGTCGATTACTTATAATTTATGCTGTTTATGAACAATTAGGTATGCACCGGTACCAAAAATACCGAACTTCGGTATATATCGATACCGAAAATACCGACTTTTTTCACTTAGAATTTTTTGGATTTTTTTATTTGAAATGAGATGTTTTAGCGTCCTGGACACCCAGAATGAATCAGGGACGGAAAACAAGAGCTTTGTTTGCTTTCTAAAGCCAAAGTTTTTCTTTTCTTTCTATCTGAACATGCTCAAAATACACAGCTGAGTGTTGTTTATACGTTCTGCTTGTCCAGGATGCTAAAATACCTCATTTCAAATGAAAAAATTCAAAAAATTCCAAGTCAAAAAAAGTCGGTATTTTCGGTATCGGTATATACCCAAGTTCGGTATTTTCGGTATTCGGTATGCCGATACCGGTGCATACCTATTTCATACTGAACGATGTACAAATTGATATGATTGTCATCAAAACATTTTATAAAATAACTTGCCTTGCGACAGGAAAATAGAGGAAAATCATACAAATCCTTCGCTTCGAGTAGTAACAATAAAACACAATGGCATGAAACGAAAACAGGGCTAAGTAGTAGAGGAGCTATTCTGGAAAGAACTGTCTCATGGTTTCTGATAAACGTCTTTTCACGGAGAATTTTGCATAAGATAAGACATTACAGTCATTAAGCAGACAGACGCTTCTCTGAAATTAGTTCACCTTTGTTATACTTCACATCATATCTGTTCCCATTTGCACATGTCTCAATTCCTTGACCGTGTCTTTTGCCATCTTTATACTCGCCCTCATACCTGTCCCCATTCGGATATGTGTAAATTCCACGGCCACATTTTTTCCCATCTTGCCACTCTCCATCATACCTGTTCCCATTCGCATATGTATAAATTCCTCGACGATGCTTTTTGTCATCTTGCCACTCGCCGTCATACCTGTCCCCATTCGCATATGTACAAATTCCGCGACCGTGAATCTTGCCACCTTTGTACTCGCCGGCATACCTGTCTCCATTCGTATATGTATAAGTTCCTCGATGGTGCTTTTTGCCATCTTTCCATTCCCCAGTATAATGTGTACCGGTCGGCCATACACATACACCTCTGCCATTTGGTATATCGTTCACAGTATCACCTTCATAGCTACCACCATCGGGTAATATCCCTTTCTTCTTCATCACTATTGACGATAAACCGCAACTTGTAGTCTGACTCAACTTGAGGGGCGATACTGGAACACTCATTGATTCGTCATCACCTTCAATTTCACGCAGATGCACGATGTGTAAACCACCAGAGTAATCAAGCGCACTACTCATGACCTCTAGTTTCGTTCCGGGCATCAGGATAAATTCATTCTCGGTCGTATAGCAAGCGTATAATGAAATGCTTTTTCCGTTCACTGCTTCGATCATGAACAATGTACTATCAGTGCCTAGAAAGTTCTTGATGATGTTGACCGAGGAAGAACACGAATTAACTGACCACCATGACAGTAGTTGTCCTTGTTCAAAGTTTTTACTCACGTTACCATCGACACCACGCCATAATGATAGCTTCTGAGACGGTAGTTTGTTAAGAGCAGTATCAAGCAGTTTTAAGTATGGAAACCATGGTTTTAATGCTGCACGATTTTCATCTCGTAACGCTTTGTTCAATACGCGATAGAAGCTTTCATCACCCCACTCCATCGTGTACAAATACAAGGCAGCTGATTCCTCTTTTGTTAGATGGTTCGACGAATGACAGTGTGTTTTAGCGGTTTTAATATAGCGTTGTAGATTATCGATGAGTGGTATGATTTTCTCAAGTGAGACTTCCAATGGCACCAGTGGTGAACTGAGATAGCCATACACCGGTGGCAGTTTCTTGTTCTCTGTATCGATGTCACTATATCGCACACGCATATCTCGACTAAAAGAAGAACGCAGATCGGTATTATATTAGAAGGAGAAGAGTTTATGTCAACTAGAACGACTAGCGAAGTTGTCTTTTGTTGTTAACGTGACCGTGATTTCTGATGAAAAACAAAGCAACAACAAGCGTTAAGTTTCACGGCACTGGCTATCAGAGTCAACGACTCTGAGGGTTGACTATATATAGAGAGACAGAAGGTAGTATTTTGTATTCTTATCTCTTAACTACACGTAAATAGAAGTTTTATGTGAGAGAACGGAATGAAAAGTGTCGTGGTTTTCGATGTTACAAGAGTATCATTCCTTAAGAATGATATGAATCTTTTTCTCAAGGTGCGCATAATGCAAAAGTGTAGCGGATTTTTTTTTTCAACTTAGTATACACTATTCGATATAGCTCGTCGAGCTGATTAAGAAAATATACTTTTTAAAGTTTCAACAACTATTCTTCGCGAAAAATCGAGAAAAGTCAGAACTACTCGAAAAATGGTTGAGTATTCGAAAAACTTAAATTTCGATTATGTTTTTAAGTAGAAAATTTGACCTATTATAGCCACACTCATTCTGATACTCATTAAAGAGCTGTTGTCGAACACACCTATTGATAGCTACAATGGACGTCCGTGAAGTAATCGATTAGCACAAACGAAAAGCCACGAAAACGTGACAAGTTCTATATCAAAATAATTGGTAAATCTTGCTATCATCGAATACAACAATAAATTCCTTAATTTACTTTCATTCACACTTTCATTCGGATAAATTTAGAAATGATGGTAGATGAAAAATATGAGGAATTAATGATTAAAAGTATGAGGAAATGACTGATGTTTTGATAATTTATCGATTTTCTAGATATCCTTTCTAGATATCCGATTTTCTAGATATCCTCTGAAATCCTAGCAATGTTTTATCAGCATGTTGGGATTGTAGTCTGAAAATTTTTGCATCAAAATAAGACGCTCAGCTCTCCACGACCTTTCTTTGCAAAGTTACAGAATTTACAAGAGAAGCCCTAAATTAATTTTCCCTTTTCTTTTTGTCTCTGAGCTGACAATGAACATTTAGGGCTTCTCTTGTAAATTCTGTAACTTTGCAAAGAAAGGTCGTGGAGAGCTGGGAAGCGTCTCATTTTGAAGCAAAATCTTTAGGCTATAGTCCCAACATGTTGATAAAACATTGCTAGGGTTTCAGAGGATATCTAGAAAACCGGTTCTCCAGAGAAATACTAGGAAAGATCTATGGGCACAAACGGCTACCATATTTGTAACCAGTGCCCTTGATTACATATAAATTGCCAGGTTTAAACAAAATCGAAGCACCTCACCTGGGAATGTTCCCTCGTTAGAACAAGAGCAGAAGTTAAGTTCCCAGCGAACTAACAGCTCCTACTAGCGTTTACGTTGATAAACTGTCTGAAATGTTCCTGCGGCCTCACAGTCACAAAGCCTACCCCATTCCCCGCCCGCACCTTCTAGTACTTAACATCCACTGTCTGTAAATGAGAGTAAGAGCTTGTATTTCGCTGCGAACTTAACTTATGCGCTTGTTCTGAGTTTGCGGTACAATATATCTAATTCTCAAGATTTAGTCAAAGTTTAGTTGAAATAGACAGAGTCGTAAGTATAAACAGTAGGTCCTTTCTGCTTTGAAATAAAGATATTTTAAGTAACGGTTAATGAGCCCATCAAGCATGAGGGAAAAATCATCTAACGTTACCTGAAAATCTAAGTTTTTTGACCTTAGTAACGTTTGGCTTTGAAATAGGTATCAAAGTTTTTGTTTTGAACAACGCATATTCTAACTTTTGTGCATCTCTACGTTCTTTGTTTCGAGCGAATGGCATATGAGTCAAAGGAGCGAAATGGACAAAATTTGCTAGTTTTCGTTTCTTTTAGTCAAATTAAGAGCAGAGAAGAGTAATCAGAAACTGAGAATTAAAACTTAAGGGTTTTTTGCTAAATCAGTCCTCGCACTTATTTAACAGCAAAAAACTAAAAATTCTGAGGGTGCATCTTGTTTAGCAGAAACTTCTTTGAGCTATTATTGAATAATGGAGAGCTCCAACAAGGTGTTCAAAGAAAATAAGTATCCCGACGAGGATTATATTTTTATCTCTGAATAATATTCTCGAGTTATATCAGAATAGTATACGACATTCTTACAATAATAAGTTTTGTTATGATAAGCATGAGAAATAAACGAACATTTTATATTATGGCAATAAACACTAGAAGTATTGCGATAAAATTATTAACCCACAAAGTCTATCGAAATAGAGCGCGATGCGTTTATTCTGTTGTAATAATTCGGATGTTTGTCTCGATATTTTCTTGAGCATCTGAAAGCATAACCTCCAACCACGATATTTTATCAGCAAAATCCTTATGAATAATAATTGACTGAAAAAATATGCTAAAATTATTAGTCATTGTTAAAGATCGTCGTAGTTTCTAGTTGTTACAAGTTTTGTTATTATTCAAAAACAGATATGACGGTATTTTGTGAAATTGCCGAATCAGTGATGGAATACATCAAAATTTTCAAATTTCAAATCACGTGCTATCATTATAGCCCATCTTTGTATAGGCGAATTTCTTAGATTTTGTGCATTTTCTGAGAAAGGTAATTCAGTTTTTGACTTTCATAACTGCTAGGAGAAAAACGGCTCAACTTTGTAACAAATGTAGCAAAAACGAAAGAGCTTCCACACACTGAAATTGCTGTGTACTTACCACAATTTTAGTTATATATTATTTAATATTTCCAACTTACATATTAAAACAAAAAATTTGAAAAAACAGTGCATGGTTGCAGCAGACCAGGGGTGTAATCGGTATCAAAAATGCGATACTAGTACCGGTCACCGGCATACAGACTTCGTACCGGTACCGGACTGGCGTCGGTCATAGATGTCATAGATGAACTGAATTTACACGATATTTTTCGCCAAATCGTATCATATCGCAAAATACCAGTAATGTCGACAGTCTGATTATACTTCATACTAATACCGGTATACCGGTCGGCCTTATAATTCCTCGTACCGTTTGCACCTCTGATGTGTGTGTTATATAAGTTCAGAAAGATAATATAAAGTATAACACAGAACAATCAAGACTCGCGCTATACCGTTTTAAAACTCCTCTACTTAGACCGCAACTCAGCGATAAAAATCGCGACTATGCAAATACTACTGTTTATATATCTGTGATTGTCTCGGTGCGACTCGCCATATCGCGAATCGAATATAGAGACCGCGCTAAGAAATATTCACTTGGTTTTTTGAAAATTTATCAACTTTTCAAGTCCTACCACGAGATCACGAATCTATAGCGGTCGCGTCGCGACACAGCGACAGTATAGCGATCGTGCCGCCAACATTAATCGTATAGCAAATCTTAAAAAAAGATTTTTTTAAAATAGGATTAGGCCAAGATCACGGCAGAGCTGGACAAAATACTCGAAGTACTCGTACTCGAGTACGATTTTGGTCGTAGTCGTACTCGTACTTGTACTCGAGGGTCTGATACTCGTACTCGTACTTGTACTCGAGGTGGTCGGTAAGTGTCCAGAATAATTACCACAACCGTGGTCGAACGCTTATATACGGACTTAATAAGAGTCGTATAAGGGTCCGATAAGTATTTATAAAAATAGGAT